GTGATGGTGACCATCCTCACCCTGTCCTTATTAACAATCAATGGCAGCTAGTAAGAAGGGAGCCCTCCACCCCCCAATTTTACTCTACTCTGCTTTGCTGTTCTTTCAGCTTTAGTTCTATTTTTTTCCAAAACACTTTTTGGCTACACTTGTTAACCCCCTTTCTCTGAGCTTCAGGAGCAACTACAACCCACATCGGAACTTTTATTCCGATGCTGTCCCTTACTCTACCCTGTCGACATCAATCTTGTCTTCCTGGCTTATCTTGACTCAGCTTGCACAGGGTGGTCTGTCTCCTTCATTTTCTCCTTGGGTCTTGGTTCTGCAGCCTCAGACCAGCAGCCAAAGTCATGGATGCTTTTCATGGCTGCCCAGAATTTTACCTGTACCTTCTAGTTTACTTTATGTTTCATTAGCCAGAATTTATTGAGCACCTGCTATGAGCTAGGTACCGAGGTTGTAACAGTGAATAAGAAAAGAGCCTCTGTCTTCCAGGAGCTTCCAAGGTAGCAAAAGGAGCTAGCCTCCAACACAGGATCACCAGAACCAGTCTCCAATGATGAATGGCGCCAAGGGCCGTGAAGAGGAAGAGGGAGTGACAGCTTAGAAGAGGGCCCTGGTTTGGATGGAGGTGGTGGGGGGTGGTGGGGGTGTCAAGGCAGAGGTTATTAGAGGAGAGAGACTTCCCAGGAGGCTGGTATACCAGGTGCCAAGCAGAGTGTGAGAACCCAATACAGGACTGAGCAGCTGGAGGTCCAGGCAGAAGGGAGTGCACAGCCCTAGGGCCACAGCCCATTGGGCTTCCTAGGGCATCTGGGTGTTTGGGTCTCTAGGGTAAAGCATTTAGTTCCTTCAGATTTTTTTTTTTTCTGGTATCAGGGATTGAACTCAAGGGCACCCAAACTCTGAGTCACATCCCCAGCTCTTTTTTGTAATTTATTTAGAAACAGGAGTCCCACTGAGTTGCGTAGTGCCTCACTGTTTCTGAGGCTGGCTTTGAACTTTTGATCCTCCTGCCTCAGCCTCCGGAGCCTCTGGGATTACAGGTGTGCACCACCGCACCGGCCCCTCAGAAATCTTTTGAAGTAACTGCTGGCATCGATGCCATTCTACAGTGAAGGACACCGAGTGATTGACCAATTGGTCACTGGTCCCTTCAGTAGCAGAGCAGTGGGCACTCTCGGGCTTTTGGCCGCCACTTGTTGAGTGATTGATAGCAGCACTGACCCCATGTCCTTCCCACAGGCTGTTTGCAAAGCGCCCTCTAATTGGGACTCTTCTGCAAGAAGGCCAGCCCAGGGCCCTCTAGAAGCACTGAACCAGTTTGGTGGGAGAAGGGATGTCAGAGGCTGTGATGTCATGGCTGGGCGTGGACACCACCTGGCTTCCAAGAGCATTTGGATCCCACAGTTGCGTCCATGTCCATTCCCAAGCCCTGCAGGGCTGAAGTGAAACTCCTCGGGTTGGGTTTGGTTTTGCCCAGCAGACAGGGCCAAGGTACTATGAAGGGGAGACAGGTGGCTCTCAGGGAGCACAGGGACTCTCAGGATTTGCCTGGGCGGCCTTGGCCCTGAAGCCAAGGTACAAAGGGCCTGAGGAAGCCCACGCCCTGGCTCTCCTGGAGACAGGATGTGCTCAGGAATCTGTGAACTCGGCAGCAGCGTTTGTCTTTTCAACCCCTGGAATCTCATCTAGTTTAAGACCTCCTTCCTTTCTCACCACACCCCCAGGGTGATCTGCTGCAGAGCCCCTTCCTCCACCTCCAAAAGGCCACTCCCAGAACATTAAAACTCACTTAAGACGCTAAGAGGTGATAATGACGCCACCCAGGGCTGGAACTCAAGTGGCAGTTGTGGGTGGGAATTTAAGGCACCAAACGGAGAGATGGCCCTGCCTTTTGGCCTCTCTCGACTCACCCCATCACCCTGGGGAGGTGACTTGGGTTATTTCCAGGGTCTTCCACAGTAGGGAGGTTTCTTTTCTTCCAAGGTTAAAACCCCACTTTTGCAAAGAGGAAAGAGTTTGAAGCTCAGTGAGGCAGAGGGGCCATTGGACAGTGAGAGGAGGAAGAAAACAAGATCATCAACCCTCTCGCTGGCTCCCTGCCCAGGCCAGGCCTTTGTTCACCCTGATCCTGGCCCCCGCTGCCTGGCCCCGCTGCCGTAATAGGACAGAGGCCCGTGGGTCAGGAGCCTCGCCTCCTTTATGGCCTTGTGATGGACCTTCCTTCTGGCCACTTGACCAAATGCCCCTGCCTGTGGGGAGGGCTGCCTAGCCCTCCAGTTGGTTTACCCCCAGGATCCCCCCACCCCCTGCAAAGACACTTAGCACCTTGAGGGATAGAAGCAAATTTGTCAGAAGGGACAGGAAGCGCCCTGACTCTCACGCCCTGAGAAGCTCTGAGCCTTTCTGTTTGTGTTTTGGTATCCATCAGCTCCCAGCTTCCCCTTAGTTGCACGAGGTTATGTGACTTAGGTTCCACTCTGGTCATAAGTTGGCCAGTGGTTTCCATAAAGCAGAGATGGTGTCAACAGGTTCCAGGAGCCACTGATCTGGGACACACACACACACACACACACACACACACACACACTGCCCTCAGCTCACCCTGACCAACCCTCTTCTTTGGGTCTGCTCAGCTTCTGCCAAACTGGATCCTTTCCAACTCTTTCTGTTCTCTGTCACACTCCAGCTCTGTGCCTATTTGGCTAATCTGACCTGTCCCCTGCCTCTCAAACCCTTCCTATAAGTGACTAGCACATTAATTTTTCTAATTACAATTGCTACCTTTATTAAGGACCTAGTCCTTACAGGTAACGTTTAGTGAACCTGTTCTGTGAGTCAAACGTCCTAGACACTACGTTACAGTCTCAGGTATTCCTCTAATTCGTGCTCAAGGGAAACAGGTGAGTAATTTGTCTAGAACCACACAACTACTGAGTGTTAGAGCCGCTTCTTGAACACAGCCAACCTGGAGGCACAGCTGCACACCTATTATTAAAGTTGGATTTTAGGGCTGGGGTTGTGGCTCAGCGGTAAAGTGCTCACCTTGCACGTGCAAAGCGCTGGGTTCGATCCTCAACACCACATAAAAATAAATAAAATAAAGGCATTGTGTCCAACTACAACCAAAAAACAATTTGTTAATGAATTTTAAAAAGTTGTTTTAAATGTTTATTATAAAGAAAGCACTGGGCCAGGGATGGAGGGCATTTAAACACAAAGATGAAACTTGCTCCCTCCTGTGATTCTGGCCTCAGGGATTTGACAACAGCAAGGGTTGTCTGGGAAGACGCATAGGACAAGTCCAGAGGTGACCTACTGCAGGAGAGGGCCATGGACATGCCACAGGGAACACACAGAGAGAGCTTTTCCACGCAGCGAGGAGAAACCACATCTGGGAGAATCAGTCAGGAGAAAGTCCAGGGGCTATATGGCAGGATGAGTAGTGTTGGGGCAGGGTACTGGACGGGGGGTGGGGGGGGGGGAGACCAGACAGGAGCAGAGGGTGGGTCTGACACCCAGGACCTGCAAAATAAAGAGCATGAAAAAAGAGCCAAGGTAAAAATACCTGACCAGGACACATGGATCAGAGAGCATAGGACAAGGCATTTAAGACTACTTGGTTCTCATCCTGGTCTAGAACTTACCTGCACTGTAATCAAGACAGGGAACACAACCCATCCCCCAGGACAGTTTCCTCATCTGAAAAGTGGGCATAATTCGGGGGGTGGGACCAACAGAGGCATATAGGGCACTTACCATGAGTACAAAATTTAAAGGGAAACCCCCCAAAAGCTCAGTCATTGAGATACATACTTATTAAATATGTCTAGAAAGTCCACATCAATGCAAGAATCCCATGATGAACAAAATAACAAAACTTTAAATAAGGAGATCCCAGACACCCTACATTGGAGCCTAAGGCAAAAGGAAAAATCAGTAAACTAATCCTGTTTTTAGGTAAGATAAAGGAAACTTACCTGACCTGGTCCTGCCCTGAGAGTCACACTGGGTATTGGTAGCTCCAAGGATTAGGTGAGCTAAAGCATGCCCTCTAGTCAAGTGTGGGGCCCCAGGCCTGAGCCTTGGGGAGAGACGGCAGGGGCTTGAACTTGCCCTAGAGACTTGGGCAAGAGCCTACCTCTTGTCTGTAAATAGGGTTGCATCCTGCTTGGTGGCAAGGGGTGAAAGATACAAAGTGCTTCCCACAGCACCTGGCAACAGAGTTGGAATCATGCTTGTAGCAGATGCCTATGATCACCTGTAAGCACATGTTGGTCCTCCTCAGAGGCTGCCTACTGCTCTTGCAGGAGTATCATGCTCCTTGGCATTTAAAAAAAAAAAAAAAAAAAAAAAAAAAAAAAAAACACAAATTCACTCACGGGGACTCGCACAAAGAGACTTTTACCACTGAGCCACATGCCCAGTCCTCTTTTTTTTTTTTTTTTTTTTTTGAGGGGAGGGGGTGCTGGGGATTGAACTCAGGGCCTTGTGCATGCAAGGCAAGCACTCTACCAACTGAGCTATATCCCCAGCTCCCCAGTCCATTTTGAACAGAGTCTCACAAAGTTGCTGAGGCTGGCCTTGAACTTGGGATCCTCCTGCCTCAGCCTCCTGAGTTGCTGGGAATATAGGCATGTACCTATAATATAATATAATTCACGTGCACCTGGCCCTATTCTTTCATTTGATTAGACACTGAGGGATTTAGATTTATTGCATGGTACTAACCGCCAAGGCCACAGGTCTCACTGTATTTCTCTATAGTGTTTAAAGCTAAGGCAGCTCTGTGACCCTGCTTCTGGGCAGACTTTGAGGGGTTTCAGTCCCTGGTCTCATAGCCCTGTCTACCTGCTTTCTCTAACCAGGCCAAGACTGAGTTCTGGGGTAGGGTATTTGGAGGTATTGCCACTTGAGTGGAGTGACAAGGGCATTGGCATGGCCTTCACAAGGCCTGGAGAGTTCCATTCACTCCTGGTTCTCTTACATTCTTTCAGGTTCTCTATGCTGCTATGACCGTCTGACCTGCCCTCCACCCCTCCTTGGTAAACTGCCTCCCCCAGATGATGGCAGCCCAGCTTTGACTACCTGTGGCACCTACTTGTATGATGCAGCTGAAGGTGATCTTTGCTGGTACTTTGAACCATTGTCATTATGTGACCATTGTCATTAAAACAAACCCTTTAAAAAATCGATCCCTTCGGGCTGGGGTTGTGGCTCAGCAGTAGAGCGCTCGCCTAGCATGTGCGAGGCCCTGGGTTCGATCCTCAGCACCACATAAAAATAAATAAATAAAATAAAGATATCGTGTCCAACTACAACTAAAAAATAGATATTAAAAAAAAATCTCTCCCTTCATAGAGGGCTTGGGGTTGCCTCAGTGGTGAGCACATGAAGCACGGAGCTCTGGGTTGGATCCCCAGTACTGCCCCACCATTCACCTCCAGCATAAAATCTATCTTCACCACTGCCTAGGCCAGGAGGGGTCTGGTTACCTGTGAGGCCATTTCCCATAGTGTGACCTCAAGGCCTTTCCAAAATGTGGTGAGGAGCACCAGCAGGACTCTTTTTCCTCTGTGGGCTCCCAAGGGTAGGGCAGTGTGGGCTGGCATCTGGGCTCCACTTCTTCCTAGTTGTGTAACCCTGACAGAGTCACTGAATGTCTCCAGCTTCAATTTCATCATCTGCAAATATGTGCCCCTCTTAGTGGCGTACTGTGAGGATTCGATGGGAAATCAGTTGGCACCCGTGCTGATTATTTATATTAACTCAATTAGTTAGAACACGGACTGAAGTAATTCATTCATTACTACAACAAAAACATTCTGTGCTCTATATCAGGAATGTTCCAAGCTCTGAGAAGATATAAAGATAAGATAGAATCCCTGCAGCCATCAGGTGGTCCAAGGGAAGGGGAGAGAAAGAGGAACAAAGACTGAACAGCCAGACAGAACTGTGAAGGGCCAGACATGGAGTAGATGCGGGTGTTTGTTGAATGACTTAATGAAAGAAAAATCATGCAGACATTAACCCTTACAAGATATTTCCGTGAGGCAATCAGGCAGGTGTTCACAGACGTCAGCACGCTTATGAAGAGGACTTTTCACCAGGCAGAGATGCAGCAATATACATGACACATACTGCCTCGCCTTCAAGGAGTATGCTTTGACAGGAAGACAACTAATAGGAAATACATCAGAATAACTAATTAATCACAAGTACAGTAAGTGCTAGGCAGAGGCGCCGGGCTCTGGGGACTAGGAACTTTTGGAAGGCAGGAACTGAGCACTGGGGGTTTTCTTTCCTACTGTGCTTGTAGCTAGAGCTACAGGGCAAAGGTTATTCTTACGTTTTAAATAAAATTGAAACTATCTTTTCTTGAATAGGTAGCACTAACCTAGGTTACAAAATTAAAAAGTACACAGGGTACAGTGAAAAGTCCCTCCCCAGAGGCAGCAATGTGGCATTTCTTGACTTACCTCTCCAGAGTCCAACCAGTCACGCAAACTCACACGTAATGACACAAATGGCCTGCACACGGGCCAGGGCTTCTTTCTTGTTCCATATTAGTACAGGTTCAGGGCCTGCCTGTCATGCACTGTATAGTTCTATCACAATCTGTTTAACCAATGTCCTATTGGTGGACATATAGGTGTTTTTTTTTTGTTGTTGTTGTTTAAGTAATAGACATTATATTTTAGAACAGTTTTAAGTTCACATTGAGATGAGCAGTAAGTACAGAGTTCCCACCTCCCCCCTTCCTGTTTCCCTTATCACTAATATCCTTGTATTCATATGATTTATTACAATTGATAAGCTAATATTGATATATTATTATTAACTAAAATACAAGTTTAATATTAGTGTTCTTTTTTTTTTTTTTTTTTGGTATCAAGGATTGAACTCAGTGCACTTATCTACCGAGCCACCCCTTTTTGTATTTTATCTAGCCACAGGGTCTCACTGAGTTGCTTAGGGCTTTGCTAAGTTGCTGAGGCTGGCTTTGAACTTGTGATCCTCTTGCCTCAGCCTCCCGAGCCACTGGGATTATAGGCATGCGCTACCACACCAGGTTTAGTGGTCATCCTTTGTGCTGGGCATTCTATGAGTTTTATCAAAAATGTAACCACATATATATGATCATTATAGTCTCATAGAGAATAGTCTCCCTGCTCTAAAAAATCCCCCGAGCTCTAACTCTTGTTAATTTTTTGTAGTGGGATGAAATCAGGGCCCGACATGTGATAGGCAAGGGCTCTTACAGTGAGCCACATCCCCAGACCTTCTTTTGTTTATTTATTATATATATGTATATATATATAAGTTGTAGAGGGACACACAATGTCTTTATTAATTTATTTTTTATGTGGTGCTGATTTGAATCAGTGCTAGGCAAGCACTCTACCACTGTCCTACGGCCCCAGCCCCCTTCTTTTATTTTTTGAGACAGGGTCTTGGCCAGTTGCCCAAGCTAGCCTTGAATTCGTCTCCCTAAGTATCTGGGATTTCAGGCATGTGCCACCAGCAAGCCCCACTTCTTCCTCCTTCCATTCCTTCCCCACAAGCTCCTGATGGAATATAATTTTTGTCAATCAAAGTTATGGCAGTTCAGCCTTTCAGAGTCTTTCATAACCTGACTGCCAGCTTCCTCACCTGGTCTCCTGCCACCTGTGCTCTGGTCACACCACATGGCTCATGGTCTCTGAAACCACAGGTTGTGCTCCAGCTAGGCCTGGCCAACCTTCCTGCTGCCCTCCTCCGGAGGCCCACTGACTTCAGGCCCAGCTCAAATGCTCCATTCTGTGAAGTCATCCACATTCCAGTCTTTTCCCCCAGCAAACCCTCAACAGTTGAGATGCCCTCCTGTGTTGTTCTTGTGTTTATTTATTCATTAATGCAATAAAAATTTAGGGAGCATCCATATTCCGTATGCCAAGCTGGTACCGAGCTGAGGGTCTAGCAAGGAATGTGCGGCCATATGGCCCAGCCCTCAGATGGCTGAAAGTTCCTTAAAGAAAATGAAACTGGGGCCTGGGAGGTAGGTCAGTGGTAGAGAGTGAGCTCAGCTTCTTGAGACCCTGGGTTCAGTGTCCAGCAACAGAAATGAATCAATAAACAAATGCTGAGGGCCATTACCAAGTAGGAATGACGCATCGAAATTTCCTTGCCAAGCGTACCCCATGCTGCTTAGAGGACATTCGATGGGACATTGCATGCATGCTTTCATAAGGTGACCTTGCTCAAGGACCAAGGCGGATCCGAGTTTAGAGCTGATCAGGTTTGAGGAAGTAACCGGCTCCTTGAGTTTAAGGCTCCTTGAGTTTAAGGCGTTGCTAGTTTAAGATAATGGGTTTTAGGGAAGTTAGAGGTTGAAGATTATTGCTGGGATTAGGGTGTTCCTGCTGCTTGTTCCCGTTGAGTTCTCGTGAGATTAAAATGGGATTTGGAGATAGCCTCGTGGAGTAGGTGAATTGTGCGGGAGACGGCAGAACACGTTTGCCCCTGGACCTGTGTGGAGGCGGTGTGAGAGCGGGAATAAGGAATTGCTGTTTGAACCTACAAAGGTGTGAGGTGGCTCGTGATTCTGGTGCCAAGCCGAGACCTTGGCAAACAAATAAGTGGATAAAGTAATTCAAGGTGCTAGAATAGTCAGGGAAAGGTCCTCAGATGAGGTGACATTGAAGAAGGAACCAGGGCCAGGTGTGGTGGCATATACCTGTAATCCCAGTGATATGGAGGTTCAAGGCCAGCCCCAGCAACTTAGTGAGACCTTTAGCAGATCAGCAACACCCTGTGTCAAAAAATAAAAAGGGCTGAGGATGTAGTTCAGTGGTAAATCACCCGTGGGTTCAATCCCCAGGAGAAAGAGAAAGGAAAGGAGGAAGACCAGGGAGGAGAGTATTCAAGGCAAAAGAAACAAGTGCTAGCATTTCATGTTCCTTGAAGAACACTTCTCATGGCTCACACCCCTGCCTTTCCTCATAGTGGAGGGACAGGATCAGCCCTCAAGCAGGAGCTAACCCATGCACGTTCAATGACCAGCTCCAGTACATAGGGGCATCCAGGAACTCACAGCAGGACTGTCCACCCAGCGGCCAGGCCTGGCCCTGTAGCCCCAACCTCACTCTTCCTAGCTGGTTGCTGGGTCTTTGTTTGAGGTCTTGATACTAAACCCTAATTACCCAAGTTAAGGCTATTGCCTCTTTAAAGAGTTCAAAAGCCTGAGACTTTTTATAAATAGCTGTATCCTTTCACCAGCCCTTAAGGCAGAGATTTATGGCCTATTTCCCCAGAGGCAGACAGACCTACAGACAGGTTGCTTCCCTTGGAGGCCGGGTTCCTACAATTGTGGGATGCTCCCGCTTCCTCTTTGCATTTTATGACCTCCTGGCTGCCTAATCCTGAAATGGGTTACACGGGAAGGAGGCAAATTGTGGGATTGTGTGGCTGCAGCTGCCTCGGAAACCAGAGGCCACCCCAGGCTCAGGAAGGGGCTGGTGGGTGGTGGGGAAGGCCAGGCAGCCTGGCCACTTGGCCATGGCTGCGGCTTCTGCTTTCCAGAGCTTTCCTTTCTCCAGTGAAACACCCAGGGTGGCGGCTGTGTAGACCCCACAACCGGGATCTACACCACAGCTGCAGATCCAAGGCAAAGAACTGAGTTCATAATTAGGGGACAAGACTGAAAAATTAATGAGGTACTACTCATCCACACAGACAATGCTCATTCATTTTTAGGGTACGTGCGTACTCCTCATTCAAATCCAGTCCTTGCAGAACCCCAGGAACTCCAGGGAGGTGGGTTTTATGACATCCTTATGACAAATGAGAAAACTGACACCCAGAGACTAGCCCAGGTTGCACAGCTGAGAGGTGACAGATCCCGATTCAGATCCTGGCTTCAAGTGCAGGTTGGGAGTCGGATGCGGTGGCTCACATCTGTAATCCCAGCGGCTCAGACGCTGAGGCAGGAGGATCGCAAGTTCAAAGCCAGCCTCAGCAACTTAGTGAGGCCCTAAGCAACTCTGTGAGACGCTGTCTCTAAATAAAAAACAAAATTGGGCTGGCGATGTGGCTCAATGATTTAAGTGCCCCTGAGTTCAATCCTGCCACCACCCTACTCGTGCAAAAAAAAAAAGAAATAAAAAATAAAAAGTTGGGGCCAAAGATACTATCAGCAACCAGAGAAAACAGAGGGGA